CCCCAAAACCCCAAAACCCCAAAACCCCAAAACCCCGTAAGAAGTATGTTGAGGGTTGAGCGAAAGAGGTAAAGAAATAAGATAATAAAAAATAAGTCCTAGAATGATAGATAATTAGAATAATTACTCAAATCATTATGAATTTACTAATCAAACATTTCTCAAGAATCACTCTGAAGGATAAACGGAATAAGTTTCTATTTCAGTTTAAATTTAGGCAATTTTGAACCAATTTGGAGGATATTAATCGTCGCAGGACACATTTGAGTGAGGATTCTTATTTTTAGCGGTAGGAGGGCTTTAATAAAAACGTGAGAAGGATGAAGGTAGATTTATTCCATTTTTGTAGCGTTTATTTACTCCATTACCAGTATAAACATCAAACATGCAAATTGACTTAAGAATCTAGCATAATGATCCTACGAAATACTTTTCTAGATTTAGTTTTGGCAGTCTAGAAATAACTAAATTTATTCAAAAATAATGGCCATTATTATTGGATTTCTATACGTATTAAAAAACTTATGCAACTACTTTGATGTAAAAAAAATTCTTTAGTCAATCTATTGTGCCTAACATTACTTGATCAAGATATACTGTATTAAACTACCGAAATACTTTATCATAAGAATAGAGATATTAAAGTATGATTAAAACTTTATGTAAACACGCATATCAGATAATATCAAAGTCAAATTTAATTCTCAAACAAAGACCAGACAGAGATAGGAAAAGTGAGTTACTAAATAGCAAGAAATTAGACAGAAAATAAATTCTTAGCAAAGATAAATATGTCATTAGTAAGATTATAGGTAGTACATCTGAGGTAATAAGCATATTAAAATGAAGGCAGCCTTTAAGATATTAAGTTTTATTCTATAGTATGGAAACTTATCAATCATTAGCTATGAAACTATTGTCATAAGGTTGAACTTAATGGCTGTTGAGTTTAAATATTTTGTCTAAAATAAAAAATGCTCCCTATAACCAATGTCAGAACTCAATTTTTTAATGGAGAATAAGTAAGATGTTTACATCATTGAATTGATGCTTAATTAGCATGTAAGACATAAGGAAATTAACGATTTAATTGACTATAATTAATCTCATCTCAAATAAAAAATACAAACAGATTTCAAAACTAATCAATAAACCGACTAGAATTATGATTCGACTCAATAATAAAAATGCTTGATAAATTCTTAAACATCATGACATTTGTCAGTATAGACACGTGCATTAGACCTTGTAAATTTATAAGTTCAGTCAAACCCCAGCCTAAGGATAGTCTCAAGTTTTCAAAGCTCAGGACTTCTCTTATTTTAAAAGTTATTAAATACAATAATAATAAATATTGAAGGTTCGGACCCAACTATAAAATGAATACTCAAGAAAGTTACCAAGGGAATCAATATATTGAAATCCCTGAATACAACAATCTCAAGTTTATTAGTGTAGACATGGTTAAACTGAACAAGAATCATAATCCTTTAACCAAAGAAGATATTGGTTTGAGGGACAAGCTCTATAGTACTCCTCCTAAGGCTCCCAAGTTAAGGTACTATTAATTATTATTATTTACCATAATTTTAGACCTTAACCTTTCCCAGTACAAATTAATAACAAGACACCTTTTATTCTGCCAGAGTCTTCTTATTCATTTCCAGAGACTCTTCATTCTTAAGGCTAGTAAAACTAATTTTTGGAAAACTAGTTTGAAAATATTAGTTTAAGTCACTCCTCTCTAGAAATTCTAGATCCAAATTATGATACAGTTAAGTAATAAGAATTATCAAACTTCTTGCAGAAGCCTATCTCTACTTATCTGCGTCAAAGATATGATTCAATAGACACAAATGCAAGTCTCTAGGAGGCTCTCGACTTTCCTCTCAGCTTTAACGAGGAATTTGACTTCAATGCATTTATAAGCAATACAAACATGTGCTTAGAATCTGACTAGGGAGTGATTCTAAATCTTAATGATCCAGAAGGACTCAATATCTCTGAGGATTAGCTAAGATAAAAAACAGAGGGAAAAAATTATTGAGATGAGATCAAGTAATAGATGGGTTAAGGGTCAAAAATTTTAACTCTGCTTGATTTCTAGAAATCTCTGCCCTCTCTATAATGATAGACTATACAAGTTTTAATTAGTTATCAGCCGGAATAATCGCTGACTGTTTAATTCATCAAACAATAACACTACTAAGCTAAAATATTTTATATCATTCTCAAAGGCATGTCCTTTTCATTTTCATCTATTTACCACTATATTTAACATATATTTAAGGCTAAAACTCATGTGAATACATGGAGTTAATTTTTAGCAATGGGGTTTTGGGGTTTTGGGGTTTTGGGG